TGATAAAATAAATAAATGGTTTAAAAAATGTATTTTTTGATTCAATTTGTGATTGGAAAATGAATTGTTATTTAAAAGAAAAATGGGTCTAAATGGGGGTTTGAGAATGCGACGATTTGACCCAAAATTATAGTTTAAAAAGGGATTTTGAAATAAAAAATCGGAGTCACCACTTGGTAATGAGTTAAGGTGTACCAAGTCACCTAAAAATGAATTTTTAAAGAAAAATAGGAAAAAATATTAAGAAACCCCTTTTAAACGACTCCTAGTCCACGTAAACCAACGAAAAAGGTTCGGGAGTCACATTTGACGAAGGGGAAGGCAAGGATAAAAATCCAAGGCACCCCTTCGACCTAGCCAAGGCTAGTTGCGTGATTTAATCAAATATTTTCTTGTTTTAACCAAAAATTTATTACATTTGGATGCACTATATGAATGCAAACCCTAGACCTAGGGGTATTGGGGGAAATTTCTCTTCAAAGGTTGAATGGTGCCAATCACATTAATTGTGAAGCCCAATAATGACCCTTTGGAGAGGTCACGAATAATGCGAGTGGGATGCAAATGAATGAAATGCATGTATGCAATGTGAGGACATGAGTTTGAAAAAGTAATAAAAAATAATAAATATGTAAATGAAAATGTGCACGTGAGTGGGAAAGGTACGGTATGTGAAATGATAATATGAAGTGCATGTGTGCAAGTGATGATAAAAGTGTTCGTGTGCAAGTGAAGAAACATAAAGGTGCACGTGTGCAAAATGGGAGGAAAAATGAAAGTGTGATGAGGGTATAAAATGGTAGAGTGGATTTGAAAATGCATGAGCCTAGGGAATTCATGCATATTGGGTACGGGGAGACCTAAATCGTGACTCAATTTGCCCTTTTATAGAGGGAATACAAGCGTGCTAAGGCTTAGAAAAAGCCACACTCGTCTATATCCCATATTTAAGGGGACCCTCAAGCAGATGAACCCTATAACTAGCATGAAATGCAAAAATCCTAAAATGGAGGGAAAAGGGGTTCGAGGGGCATGCAAAATGATAAAACTAAAAAAAAAATGCATGACATGTAATGAACATGCAAACATGTACTAACGAGAGGAAGTCCCTAAGGGTCTAGCGTTGGACTAGCCCATTCTATGAATTCCGACTAGCGTTGGACTAGTGGAAACGTACATTCGTCCATCACATTCATTCATGGCCATGGAAAGCGAGTAGACATGCCAAACACTTATAAACACATAGCACATAACACTTAGCATGCTCAACTAGATGCAAGAACCTAATTAAAGCAAGTAACACATAACACATAGGCAATTAAAGCCCTAACTATTACATTTGCTAGCTAGGCACACGTCTTCGATAGGTCTTCATTGAATGCTCCTCCAAGCCCTATCTATTACAAGCCAAGAGGTGTACACATACCCCATAAAGAAGAACTTAAATAAAAGCAAAAGTAAATGAAATGAAAGAACTAAAGAAAGGCAATGAAAGCAAATAGTCATGTAATTTCCACGTAACACGTTGGATCACATAGAAGAAACACAAAAAAGGGATAAAAGAAAATATACCGCCCCCTTTGAATGGTGTCCAAATGAAAGAAAAATGGCTTCAAAACAATAAAAAGGTCAAGGTACCACTTTAATTGAGAAAAATTAAAAGAAAATGGAAACAACCATCCAATTGAATCACTCGAAGCATTCCAAGGCAAGTAAACTACTCGTACTTAACCAATTAAGACAAACAAAGACCCAATTGAAAAAAATTAAAGAGGTCTAAAGGGCCAATTTATTACTATTATAAACACTAAGGAACTAAAAAAAACATAAAATAAAATTAAGAATCTAAGGTGAAACTTACCAAATCAAACTAGAAAATTCACAAAAAGGTAAACGAGGAGCAATTTACTAGTAGCTAAACAACCAAATGCCAAAGAATCCAAAAAAATCAAATTAACTACAAGTCTAGGAAAAAGAAATTATTAGACCCTTCAAATTCATTCTACAATCCCTTAAGTATCTACCCAAAACAAATCAAGATGTATTAAAGAGGAAATGGCATGTTAGGAGGACAAAATTAATTAAGTTTCCAATTAATTGGGCCATGGAAGCATTAGATGGAAGCCAAGGGGTTGGAGTGCGATTTTTGAAAGTCATTTTCATGCAAAAGCCATGCAATCACGTAGAAGAAACTTTCTCTGCAACAAATTTCATTTCCAGCCGTGGCTTCTTTCCATTCTACCATGCAAACACAATCCAACAAACAAAAAAACTTGTAAGGAAATCAAACATTCTTCCCCCTCTTTGGAACGCAAAAATCCAGAAAAACAAGAATATTCAAATGCTAAAACAAAATCCAGCAACTTTGGCTTGTTCTTCCTATTTCATGCTGCAAAAACTGAAAACTAGCAAGGTAGACAACTAAACCAGTTTTGGTGAATTGCTGCATTACCGAGTTGCTCAAATGCACTCCTAGCACAATTAAAAATTCAGCCAATCGATCCAAGCTTCAACATTAAACCAAAGACAAGCGTAACTCAACAGGCCAACAACTCCAAACACAAATTCTGGCAGCCTCTCATGCGAAGAAAAATGAAAGAAAAAAAAACTTTCTTATAATCTGCTGCAAATTTGTGGCTTACTCTTTGTACAGACCATCCATGAGCTCAAATCAAAACATAATGAGGCAAATATCGCATGTTACCCACTAGTATACCCCAAGACATAAACCATTTAACATGCTCAAACAAGCAAAATATAGTTCGGTGACTGCTAAAAAAAAACAAAGTGCAGCAGCAATTTCCAGCCGCAATCTTTCGCATTTTTATCATGCAAACAAATTCATCAACCCAGAAATTATTGACCCAATTTAAAACATGAAATTTTGGGTGCAAGATTAAGATGGCAAATCTGGTTTTGATCATCAACAAAGGAAGGAAATTCATTATCCATCAATAACAAAAGAAGCAAATCTGGCTTTGTGCACCTTCAGCCGCAGCTTTTCTTGCATTTTAACATACAAATGTGTTCACCATATATCAGAATTTTAACTACCAATCACCAACTAAACTTGTAACTTCATTGTAGCATTGAAACAAGAAAATGGAGCTAATCATCAAAGGTAGAAAGAAAACTAAACAGCAAAAGAATGAAACAGGAAAAAAAACGCAGCAAGCTTTCTGCAATTCGGCACTTTACAAAATCCAGCTTTCAAACACAATCAAATCCAAACACAAGGCTTTAAACTAGGCAGCAAACCATCATCCAAACAAATAAAAAAAAAACTGAGCAAAATCCAGTGCAAATACAAATAAAATACGTTCAGCCAGTTGAGAAATCTGGAACATATAAAACTGATTTGGCAAGTTGAAATGCATTTTCCAGCAAGTGCTTGGGCATGAATCCGAATTTACCTCGGTTGAATCATTGTGTTAAGTACCCAAAACTAACATGCAAGGCTACTTAATGAAATTACTATCATTTCTAGTTCAGATCAAGTTCGGACAGCAACTATAAACATCCACAAATCCAGAAATTCTGTTCGCCATCCTTGGATGAACTTGCATGTAGCCGTTCACTATTTCATTCATTTTTTTTCTTGCTTAGCCGGACCAATAAACTTCCTGCAAAGCTTAATCATCTAATTTTAATTAGTCAAACACCTAACCAAGTGAAAATCAACCACTTTCCAGCAAATTTCATGCTAAAATACCCATGCAATTTCCAAAACAACTTCAACGGCTAAACTGGAAAAATTGTTTCAGCAATCCATCAACTTCCATTAAAATTTCCAGCCATGCAACCGAAATTCAGGCCACGTAGTTCACATGCAACATCAAATAAGAAACTATCTATCAGGTTGAGTCCAAAATTAAGCTCAGATCATCACAGCTAGCAAATTAAAAACCGAAACTTCCAGCTCAAGCTCTCGGCAGCTTCACTTTCTTCTCAAACAGATTTTTCTATGATTTAAGCTATCATCTAACCACACAATCCCACATGCATGCTTATAGTCAACTTCATCAACCCATAAACAACTCATCTAAGTTCAGAAATTACCTTAGCTTGAAGCCTAAAACACACGACTAGCATCTGCAAATCCTCCACTCTCGGCTGTCCAGAATTGCAGTCCGCAACTCTCCCTCTCCCTGGCTCAAACTTGCGGCTGGATTGGAGGAAGTTTGACTCTCGGTTCTCTCTCTCCCTCTCTCGGTTGGTCTTGAAGTGAGGCTGGAAGATAAGCTAAGTCCTCACCTCTCTCTCTCTCGTCGTTATTTCCAAAGAAGCTGATCACTTCACAGCTCACGGCATAGGAACAATTGAAATGAGAATGTTATGGTGAGTGGTAATGATTGTCGTGAACCGGCAATGATATAGCGTAGTGGGATGTATATATTGAGGTATTGGGAGTGGAGTGGAGTCGGCAATAACAATGGAAGGTGCTAGGTTGAGAAGTGGAAATGGAACCGGCAGAAATAGAATTGTGATTTTTTGATTTTTTTCTTTTCTCAACTTAATAATTTAACAAAAATAATAGTAAAACTAAATAATAATAAAAACACCAATTTTAATTACAAACACATCAAAATAAACAAACTAAAAATAACAAAATTACCATTTTCGATCTTTTCTTTCATTTTTCATCATTTTTTATCATTTTTTTCTTCTTTTCTTTTTCAAAATAAATTAACAAAAATAAACCAAAATGCCAAAAAATTAAATTTGAACGTATTTTTGTGAACAATTTTCCTTTTTCTCTTTTTTCATGATTTTTCTACGCTAAAACTTAAAAATAAAAATAGAAACTAGAAACTAAAAAAAAAACTAAAAGCAACCACGACAAATGAGAATAAAAAGTAAAAGAAATTACACCAAAAATTTGGTGTCTACAGGAAGTGATATTAAGAAGAATCATACTTACCTTTCAAAAGGGTACATCCACCTATGTTGGACAGACCCTCCAAGTTTGGCTTCACGGGGTAAGTGAACAGCTAAATGGATCATAATATCGAAAAAACTGGTGGAAAAATCATTTCCAACTTGCACAATATCATTACTATGTTCTTTTCTAATTTCTCAATCTCTTCCAATCTAAGCTTTTTTGAACACAGATCTTGAAAGAACTTGGCTACTTCACATATTAAAGTATACACATCTGTTGACAAGAATCCGCGCAATCCGACAGGAAGCATTCGTTGCAAAAGAATGTGACAATCATGGCTCTTTAATCCTGATATCTTACCATCTTTTATGTTGACACATCTTGATATATTAGCTGCATAGCCATCAGGATACTTCACTGAACTCAAAAATTCACAAAAACCTTGTCGCTCTTTTGGTAACAGATTATAGCATGCTTGTGGCTTTTCAAGCTTGCCATTTCTTCGATGTAATTGTAGCTCATGCCGAATGTCCATGTCCTCCAAATCCCGCCAAGCTTTATCTGTATCCTTTGACTTGTTTTCTAAGTTAAGCAAAGTTCCCATAATATTATCACACCAGTTCTTAGCAGTGTGCATAACATCAATGTTGTGTTTTAGTGGAATATCTTTCCAATACGGTAATTGGTAAAATATGCTCTTCTTAGTCCAGTTTCTTTCTTCAAGATTGCGCTTCCTTTTCTTAGTATTTAGATTTTTTCCAAGTGTTACACCCTCAACAACTTTTAATTGTTCAAGAATTTCTTCAGCTGACAATTCCCGTGGTTTCAACCTTCTCTCTACCCTGTCATTAAATTTTTTGCCATCATTTCGCCACACATGATTATCAAGCAAAAAGCGATGGTGGCCCAAGTAACCAATCTTGTTTCTCAATGGCTGATAGTCCGTTTTATCATTGCAGCAAGGGCATGCCATTTTTCCCTTGTTCACCCAACCAGATAAGTCCCCATAAGCCGGAAAGTCATTTATAGTCCACATAAGTGCTGCATGCAGAAGAAAGCATTGTTCAGTCACAGAATCATATGTCCAAACATCTTTGAACAATTCTAACAGTTCATCAATCAAAGGTTGCAAAAACACGTCAATATCCTTTCCCGGTGACCGACGACCTAGAATAAGTAGTGACAAGAAGAAATAAGGCTCCCTTTTTGATACCCAAGGTGGCATATTATAGTTTATGAGCACCACTGGCCACATACTATAGGAGTTACACATATTATTGAAAGGGTTGAAACCATCACTTGACAATGCAAGACGAACATTTCGAGCATCTTCAGCAAACCATGGAAATTTCTTATCAAACTCTTTCCATGATTCACCATCTGCTGGATGACTTAAGACCCCTATTTCTTCAACTCGTTTTTCCTTGTGCCATCTCATATAAGATGCTATTTTTCTTGATATAAATAGTCTCTGCAGTCTTGGCTTCAAAGGAAAGTAGCGAAGAATCTTCTGAGGAACTTTTTTACCTTTGCCATCATTTATTTTCCATCTAGATTGCAAGCATTTTGGACAATGATCCAATCCTTTATATTCCTTCCAAAAGAGAATACAGTCATTCTTGCATGCATGAATCAGGTCACATCGCAACCCAATGCCCCCCAATAACTTTCTTGAATCGTAGTAGGAGGATGGAAGTAAGTTATCATTAGGGTAGGAATCCTTCAATAGTTGAAGAAGCATGGTAAAAGATTTATTACTCCATCGATTGAGTACCTTCAAGTGTAGCAATTTTACAACAAAAAGTAATATTGAATACTTTTTGCAGCTAGGATATAAGGCCCGCTTAGCATCTTTAAATAATCTATTAAATTTTTCTAACTCATCTTCTTTTCTAAAAGAAACCTCCTTATTGCTCCCACCATTTAATTCTTCTTCATTAAAGGTCCCCCAATAGATGTCTTCTAAAATTTCTTGCATTTCGTCATCATTTACTTCTGCATTGTTAGCATTAATTTCATGCTCATTATCACAACATGAATGAACATTTGAATTTTCATTAGGCAGAGTTTCCCCATGAAATTTCCAATATGTGTAAGTACTATCCATCCCCTTATATAGCAGATAACTCTCAACAACATGAACAGAGTAGTACTTCACATTTCTGCATTTTCTGCATGGACATCTAACCTTTGGTTTATCACCTTTGTGCTGTTTTGCCATTGTCAAAAATTTCTCTAGCCCATTCCTATATTCATCACACCATCTATCAGCCAGGAACATCCAACCCTTATCCATTTTTCCTCCTGGCATATATGAACTACATGCTATACCAAGGTGCAAGTTTAGATGACAAGCCTTCCCAGAGGAATTGTGTTGGAAAAATAGCATTGAAATTCAAAAAGATGATAATTATAAAGAACTAGTTAAATAAAGCATAATATGTCCATAACCCAACAAAAGCATATGCATTCACAATATCACCAGTTAGATCCAAATAATGGCAGTTTCACTTCAAATAGAAATCAAACTTGAGGACTGTAATGCACTTACCATGAAGGACCGCTCAAGAACATTAATAAAGTGCTAGAACTTGAACTCTTTATGCTTCCTGCATCCAAAATCCCCAGTCATTGAATAAAATGTTGATTAACAATAATTGTACTAAGTCTTGAGAGCATTGGAATGGGTTCCTTTATTATCTTTTAGAAAAAAAATGAAACCAGATATATATATTTGTGACGTTTTGGGAACAAAGCCAACATAAATCTCTCAAAGAAATGAAAAACAAAACTCTCAAAGAATAATCAAATATATTACTTTCCTATTAACTGTGGAAAGACCAAATACAAACCGACAGAGATGTCTTCATTTACATGCGAGATGTATGGAAAAAAGTGTATGGTATGGTGAGTTGCTAGCTATGGACCCCAGATGAGGGCAAATTATGAACGATGGAAAGTCATTATTATTGCTGAAAGATGTCATGCATGCTCATGCACTTGTCCACCTATCAAGCTGCATGCATACATGCAGGAGTTTTTTGTTTTTTTTTTTGGGGCTAGGGGTGTTTGGATTTTGGGGCTTTGGATTGTGAGAAGAGAAGCTACGTCTGCAACTAGTCATGGAAACGGCCGATAGAAACATAAGCTGTAAAAACTAGAGAGTTCCAAAGAAGTTGTTGGAAACACGGCTAGAAATAGGGGAAAAACATAGCAGTGATATAACTTCAAGAAAGCAGTGCTGTTATGGCACCATACCAACTCCTCACCCAACTCGGTGGTGAAACATCTAAAGAAATGTTCTAATTAAGTCGAGAGATAGAGAGAAAAAAGAAGTCCTATTTTTCACACAAGGTAATGCTCATGAAAATGCCACAAGTGATTCATTGAAAGGACTAGCAGCATTTGTCCATTTCTCTAACACTGAAGACGTTGAAGCTATTGGCTCAACCATTTGATCAATTACACTCCCTATCTTCTAAAGAGTGAACATGCAATCATGGCCAAGAAAACTCAGCAAGATTGCTCTGGGATTAACTTGGCATCAATCTATTACTATAAAATTCAAACCCTCATGGACATTGATTATTGTAAGAGAGCCTTTTACGTTCCTCTTTTGTCGCTTCCCCAACCAACCGCCCATTCAGAGGAGAAAGAGCGGAACCAGCGGCGGCGCCGGCGGCAAGAAAAAATGGCGGACAAGGCAGTGAGTATTCGTACTAGGAAGTTCATGACCAATCGTCTTCTTTCCAGAAAACAATTCGTCATTGATGTTCTGCATCCTGGAAGTCCTAATTTTTCCAAGGCTGAGTTGAAGGAGAAATTGGCTAGGATGTGTGATATGAAGGACCCAAATGCCATCTTTGTTTTCAAGGCCAGGACGCATTGTGGAGGTGGCAAATCAACTGGGTTTGGATATATCTATGGTTCTGTAGAGAATGCTAAGAAATATGAGCCCAAATATCGGCTTATCAGGAATGGCCTGGATACTAAGGTAGAGAACTCTAGGAAACAACTCAAGGAAAGAAAGAACAGGGCCAAGAAGATCCGTGGTGTAAAGAAGACAAAGGCTGGAGATGCTGCCGAGGCTGGAAAAAAAGAAATAATTTTCCTGAGAGTTCTAGGCCTTGTCAAATTTTTATAGAGAAAAACAAAAATGTTTTTGCAGCAGAGTTATTTTCTCGTTTGTTACTTTGAATTGTGTCTTTGTTCCTTTGAAACTATGAGATGAAGGTGTTTACAGTTCAAATCTTGTACTCGATGAATAGCCAGTACCCTCTGAAAAAAATGAGAAGACTTTTCTACTTTTAGAGTTGATCTTACAAAGGATGAAAAAGCATACCTGGTTAGAGATTGTTGCAGAGAGAATTGATAGATACTAAGAAGGAAAAAGAAGGAAATTTTGGAAGTGGAGACTTTTGTCTCTCCTGCGGACAACTTTTATATTCTTGGTTTTTTAGTTTTAAATCCTATTAAGATCTTGTTTGGTGGTAATTTGGTTTTGGCAAGAAAAACACCACATCCTATCCGTTAATTAAACAAGCTAGCAACCACATATCCTCCCAAAAGAGGGTACACCAGCTGCAATCCCATCATTTCTCACCAATAACATAAAAACTTTGGCCCACTATGGAGGGAAGCTTTCCCGCGTTGCTTTTGGCAAGGCTATTACGCAAGAAAAGTAGTAGCCCTCGCTAGGTGTAGGCCGGCTCCAATTTTTGGTGAGGCCTGGTTCTTTTTCTTGCTATAAGCCACTTAATAGCGTCAGACCTTCTATTTCATGCTAAAACTATTGTCGCTAGTGCCCTTTCTTGTTGTAGTGCATGATGTAAGTTCGGCAAGAATCAGCTTTTAATTAGAATGTCCTCCATTAATCATTTCATTAGGTACTTAAATATAACAAACATGCTAGAACTAATGTGAGGACTCGCAAAAACTATTATTTTATGCCTAATTTATGGCTTAATAAATTATTTAATTGGGTTTTATTTCCAAGGAATATTTTCTAGTCTTATTAAACCTAAATACATGGTAATGTAACTTCGTTATATTTTTAAAATGATTCGTTTCAAAAATTAATTTCCTAGAGCGCGTTTCGTAAAAATAGTGAATAGTGCTTGGAGATTTTATCCGCGTAGTAGCACAATAAGCTTGGAATATTGGAGACCTATACTATGGTCCTAAAATAGGTGATCTTATGAATAAATATCCAAGTGATAGTTAGTAGTGCAATCGTTATAAGAATTTTTCGAAAGTTTCGCGTTATAGCGGTAAAATTGACGGTACGCGTTTTCACACGCGCGACTTCATTTGAGGGACTTTAGACCCTTATTTCGGGACAATTAAGAGTGAAGAATATTTACATGAATATATATGCATTAGAGGTTTAGTGCACTAGTGAACCAAACGCGCGAGAAAATCGAGCCGTAATCACACCAAACGGCCCCTAATGAGAGTTGACTTTTGGGTGATTTTGCACCACACATTGCACCTTCTCTTGGAAGCTAACTTAGATCAAACACACTCTCTCTTCTCTCTCCTCATGGCCGGCCAAAACACTCCCTCTCTCTCTAACTCCTTGTTCTAAAATTTCTGCACACTAATCTCACCCAAAACCACCCCAAATCACCTCCAAATTTAACCAAACTTGCACCACACCTAGCTTGACACTTGAGGAGCATTTTGAGCTGCAAAAGAGAGCTAAAACTCACGGTTTTTCTGGGGCAAAAAGGACCAAAATTCTGCTTGAACATCAACCCCAAAGTAAGTGATGATCTACCCTTGAAAACTTGAAGATTGGAAGCTATCTTGCCTTGTTAAGTTCATGCATGCATTTGGTTAGCTTTTGTATGGTGTAAAAATGTGATTGTGGGCTCTTGGAATTCCCACACTTGGGTTGTTGTTGCTGATGTGATGATTGATGGTGATTATATTGTTGGTTTAGTGATTATAATGATGCATTAGTGGTGGGTAATTAGTAGGAACTTCATTGGGTGTAAGAAGCTAAAATTTCCAATTTTGCCCCTGCCATGTTCGGCCATTTTAAGGCCAGTTTTTAATGAACTAATGGCTTGAACTGGATGCTTATATGATGTATTAGAGGTGTGGAAAATTTCATTGAAAAATAATGAGGTTTGAATGGGCAAATGAATTTTTTTTAGAAACCAGCAAATCTGGAAACTGATTCGCGTATGACTCTGACCAGCAGTAGTATTTTGGCTATAACTCTGTCCTCGGATGTCAAAATCATGTGCCGTCGGTGGCGTTTGAAACTAGACATTCCTAGATTTAATTTGGTATAAAATACACGTTCTGATTCTTTGTGAGAAAGCCGAACCAAATGTTTTAAGTTCGCTGTCCTGTTGCTCTGTTCGTCTGGAATGAAGTGGTCAGGCAGCAACTTGATGCCCGAATTTGAACCAGTTGGGTGCCGAATTTGGAAATGATTTCTTCTGTGATATTTTAGTCCTATGAATTTATTTTCCAACGGCGTAAGCCATGCTCGATTTCGAGCTATATTGACTGATTTGTGACTGAAACAAGTGGACTGCTCTGTTTTGGAAAACCCTAATGTTTGGACTGGTTTGGAACCAAATCTTGGAGTGAACTTGTTAGTTGATGTTTTTGATATTAAACACTTACCAAAGATATCATGGATATATCTTAGACCCTTACTTCACAAATGAACCATGGTTGGATAACTTTCTTGGTTAAACGATTGGAAATTTGGAAAATGAAAGTCAAAGGCAGATTGCCTTAGGATTTTTCTTGAACTTTGGTTGGCTAATTAACTACCTTGCCGAAGGTATTTTTCCCCGAAATTCGATAGAGAGATACTTTCCATATAGTATTGAAATACTGCCAATTTTGGTGCAAATTCAAGTTCGTTTCGATACCTAGTTAAAATTCTAAAGTTGGGGGTTCAAATCTGGAAAATTCTCATCCAGTCTTGAATTTGCTCAACTTTGAGCTACCGTATCTTGGTACTCAAAACTCCGATTCTTGATCCGCTTGTTTTGTTATAAACTTCATTAAAATTTAAAAGAGCCAAATCAAATCGATTTTTATATATTTTAGGCCACTGGGAAATTAAACAAATTTTGAGGGGTTAAATTGCAATTTCCAGATTTGTTCATGCATGCTCTGCGCAGAAGGCTTTCCTTCACAGAAACTCTTCTTCATCACTGATTTCTATGATTTTTTGCAGCATATACAATCGAAGTAACTTAGGTCTTCTCAAACCAAATCATCAAATTCATTAACCCATTCCCTTAAGCTCCAAAACTCGACATAAGAAGCAAGATACAAAACCCTGAAGGTCGATCAAAGAACCAAAATAATGGAAGAGCATGCAATCAGAACATTTTCTGCAACAATACTTTTTATGAATTTCATGCCAGGCGCAAACAACGACCAAACATTCAAACCAAAAAAAACCTTACAGCTCTAATCATTGAAATTTAACCAAGATTGCAAGCTACAGAGACTCATTGAAAGGGTGTGAAAGCAAGAACGAAAGCAACAAAATTCTGGCAATTTGAACAAATAATCATCCTTTCCAAACAATCTGAATGTCAGTTTCCATTTCAGCTTTCTTTCACGGACAAAAGCAACAAGATTTTCAACTCTGACCATTTCCAAAACAAAACATCTAGCACGAATTCATACAAAGAAACTCGACCATTCCCAATTCCAAATGGAACTCAAATTCCTACCCTGGAACGGATAACGAATAGAACAGAAATGAAGGCATTAATTATTGCTGCGTTAATTCAAAGTTTTTCTATCAGGCACTTCTTCAAACATCAAATGGGCATCAAGAACATCATCGATTCTTAGCTCAATTGGGGTCAAAATCAACTCCAAAATTATCAACAAACTCAGGAAATTCAGTCTTCTAACCACCACGTAAGGCACACTCTTCGGATTCGCAAATAACCCGTCGGAAAAATAGCCATGAACCAAGTCACGAAAAACATGTTTCAAGAGCTTAAAAACTGAAACTTAAAGAGAAAGCTTACACTGTTCTCAGCTTCTGAAGTTGAATGGGACCTGGATGGTGGCGGTGGTCGACGGACAGCATCAGCAGCATCGTGGGTTGTTCAGTTGCCCTGGTCTTGATCATCCGAAATGGAATTCAAGTCTGCTGTTCTTGGCCCAAGCTCTTTCAATTATGTCTTCAGCCGCCCACTTGGATTCTCCCCTTCGTTTCTCCTCGGCTGGCTCTCGCTCTTTCCTTTCTAATCGCCGCACCTCCCTCTTTCATTCGTCGTTCCCCAGATTTTTTTTATCCGCCCCTTTTCGATTTCCCTTCATTTGCCCACTTTTTTCCTTTTCCGTCCGCCTCTATGGTTCCTCATTTTACACCCTCTATCCTTCAGCCGCCATTCCTCTTTTCCTCTTTTTCTCAAGCTCTCCGACCTCCCTTTTTTCCGAAGCCGAAGCCCCTCTGTCCGCCAGCAGCTTTTCGTCCCTCTGTTTTTTACTCAGCCCGTCGCCTGGTTCCTCTGTTTTGATCAGCCCCCTCTCCTTGTTTTTTCTTTTTTTCCTCTTTCTTTTTTTGTTCGCTGAAGCCTTTGTCCTCTCATTTTCATTGCCCGATCTCATCCGCGGCCTCTTTTTTCTTCTCTATTTTTGTTCTGTTTTTTCTTTCTTTTCAGCTCTCAGCCCAGCCGAAGCCCTCTCTTCCATTTTCCAGTTTTTCTTCTTCTCGTTCTATTTCCCAACCCCAAAGCCCCCTCTGTTTTCCCTTTGAGATTTACAGCCCCCTCCAACCGAGAGTGTCGCGCCCCACTTTTTGAAAGTGAATGAATGTGGTGAAGTGTGGTGTGAACGTGTGCAAAATGAAAAGTAAAAGGCCATGGGACTTTGGAAAGCGACGATTTGGCCCAATGACATTTAAAAAGGGTTTTTTAAATATGAAAACGGAGTCGCCACTTGGTATAGATTTGGGGTGTACCAAGTCACCCAAAAAGTGTTTTTTAAAGACAAAGTAGTAAAACCCTTTTTAAAACGACTCCTAGTCCACGTAAGCCAAAGAAAAAGGTTCGGGAGTCACGTTTGACAAAGGGGAAGGCAGGATAGAATCCAAGGCACCCCTTTGACCTAGCCAAGGCTAGTTGCGCGACTTAACTTACCTTTCCT